GCTTGCAGTACCGTTCTTGTTGTGTGGTTACATGCGTGGACCACATCGATGCAAGCCATATCATGCCAGTCAGACACTCTGTAAAAGGTGGACAAGAACCAAAAGATGAGGCTATTGGTCTCGGCAAATGAGCGAAGAATGGCAACGTCAGAATGAATGGTTGTTAGGGACGCCTCTGCCTGCCAACTAACTCTTCGATTAACGAGGAAGATTTTCGCATTATGGCCAAACCTCCCAACTGCGTGGACAAGGCCGTAGATCTCCCAGAAAACATTTCCATTACCTCGATAAGAAGATATTAAAAACACAAAACCAGGCTTTTAAAAGTTTCTGGCTTACATTTATCGTGTGCGATTCGCTTTCAAGGCCTTTTTCTCACGGTTCTGTGTTTTCGTGAAAAAAAAAAGCGTACTAAGGCTTAGAAGTGGCCACGAGCAATCGGGGATTGTAATTTATTTTGATGAGCGTGACGATTTCGGCTTGTTGGTATGGCAAAACGCTAACTATTGACGGTGCAGGCTAAGGGCAAAGAAAAAAAAAGAAACATTCGAGACAGCATAGCGCTTTTTTTGAGACAAGTAGCACTGTGACCTCTCAAATGTGCATATAACCTTTTCCTTTGCATGCGCTACCGTTTATCACCATGACATATTCTTTCAATAGTTATGAGCGCTGCATAATTACCGCGCGCGACGATGATCGTGGACGTCGGAAAACTTTATCAGTAGCCATTCAGTGCTGTTCATGACATCACTACGGCTCCGAGAACACTCAATGAAAATACGCCAGCTTTCTCCTGTCGCACCCTGATTTTCCGTGTGTCCTGGTGATTGAAATTTCCGACGATACGAATATTTAAAGTGACCCCACTCGTTTCTTAAAATACATGTGCTGACATAGTGAAAATCAGCTCACGTCCACTGCGAGCCACCACAGTATTCTACCGCTGAGCACGCGGTTGCTTAGGACTCATTCGACAACACGCCTCAAACATGCCGTTTGCAAGCATGCCCTAATAAAGCACGTTATTACCGCAAAAATACAACCAGCCGTCACACAATGCGAATTGCGAATCGAATGGGTAGTCTGATGCGCCAACAGATTAGAATAGCTTGTTATTCGTCACTTATTAACTGTGGCACATAACCACTTCATGCGTAATTGTTCATCGCTGTCAGCCACTGAATGCAACACAAAATTTGTTACAAGAATGACGAACGATAGCATAGTAAATGCTAGCCTACTGTGCAGAAGTTATGACTATTTATGGGTGCCCAGAAACTGTGCTTTTAGCATTTACCCAAAAAGTGTTTAGGAAAGCCTCTGAAAGAGCACTCTTCGTGTTTTCGCTGTGACTGCATGTGCAGGGCTTTCCCCGCTGGCCTGGCGTTTTTTTTTCTCTGCGGGACAACACCTTGAGGCAGTCTCGGGCGCTGACGTAGTGTGTCAGCAGCCTGTAATTAGCCTGAATACTTCATAGCCCGAAACTGCCTCAAGGCGTCGCTCCGTAAAGCAAGAAACGGTGCTCACGCACCCTACATTCAGCTCGGCAACCGCGGCTGTACATTCAACTCGGTAATTTAAATCCTATGAACATTACAATTTGAAAGCTTGTCGTTCAAACTTAAAATACAATGCTCCCTAAGACGGTGATGTAGAAATCTTTGACCATGTGTTTCATGAAGCTCCATTGTTTTTTTATTTAACGAAACCTGAGAGACAAAATTACGTGCTTGCGTATAGCAGCAAAATGTCACACTTAAACGTGCGTAAGCTGCTTGGAACCACAAAAATTGGAATTGCGACTGAATGAGACACCTGCGCTAAGTTTTGGGATTGAGACGACGACTATGTAGCTTCCATCGACACTGAGGGGTCATCGAATTGTGGTTTGCAAGTGCATGTGGTGTGTGTGTGTGTGTGTGTGTGTGTGTGTGTGTGTGTGTGTGTGTGTGTGTGTGTGTGTGTGTGTGTGTGTGTGTGTAAGCGTGCGTGCGTGCGTGCGTGCGCGCGTATGTGTGTGTGTGTGTGTGTGTGTGTGTGTGTTGCAGTAGCAGCAGAACTGTCACCATGAACTGCTGGGGAGGTTCACATGTTGACCTATGAAAGGGTGGTGGACCTCTCGCCAATTCGCAAGGTGAGCAGTTAAAGCATTATGGGCATTCAACAACTCATTTTGCAATAGGCATTCATTGATACCTTGAAACAGGCAATCACACCGGCACAATCAGTTGTTTCTTTAGGGCACAGTTGAACCATGCGCCGAGAGTCCAAGCTGACTAGCAATAGAAAAGACGATTCCTGCAAGACCATGTCGCGCTTACGTGATATACTGCGAAGATGAAGCTCAACTTTGGTTCATTTTTTAATAAATATGCTACTTTTTATGTTGAATGAAGTGGCATGGTTTTTTCTTTTATGACATGAACAATCGTTCAGCAGCGAATTTTCGAAGCTTCGCCACAAGAGGTGATATGTCCAATGTTTACCATTTCAAAGATAGCTAGTGTATTATGTACCACAGTTGATTCATTTTGATGTTTTCTTCGTATAGGTAACTTTTTGTCGTTCAAGACATTTCTACATATCATCGTCATCATCATCAGCCTGACTACGTCCACTGCAGGACAAAGGCCTCTCCCATGTTCCGCCAGTTAACCCGGTCCTGTGCTTGCTGCTGCCAATTTATACCCGCAAACTTTTTAATCTCGTCTGCCCACCTAACCTTCTGTCTCCCCCTAACCCGCTTCCCTTCTCTGGGAATCCAGTTAGCTACCCTTAATGACCAGCGGTTATCCTGTCTACGCGCTACATGCCCGGCCCATGTCCATTTCCTCTTCTTTATTTCAACTATGATATCCTTAACCCCCGTTTGTCCTCTAATCCACTCTGCTCTCTTCTTGTCTCTTAAGGTTACACCTACCATTTTTCTTTCCATTGCTCGCTGCGTCGTCCTCAATTTAGGCTGAATCCTCTTTGTAAGTCTCCAGGTTTCTGCTCCGTAGCTAAGTACCGGCAAGATACAGCTGTTATATACCTTCCTCTTGAGGGATAGTGGCAATCTACCTGTCATAATTTGAGAGTGCTTGCCAAACGTACTCCACCCCATTCTTATTCTTCTAGTTATTTCAATCTCGTGGTTAGGCTCTGCGGTTATTACCTGCCCTAAGTAGACATAGTATACATATACACCTGTCTAAAGCCAAGGTATTAGGCTAGTAAGGGTGAATAAATTGAGAATTAGAATTATTGTTTATCATTATATCCGCCTATGATTTCCAAAGTGTTACTATGCAATCTGAAACTTAGATAAAGTAATTTCCCCTAGTACTTATTCAAAAACAATGCTTAGATTTTCATTAGCTTAACCACTTGAAAGCATATACGGGGGTCTTTTGAACTCACAGAATCGATTTCATTTATATGTGGGTTTAACGTGTGAAAACTACCATATCATTATGAGAGACGCCGTAGGAGAAGGCTCCAGAAATTTCGACCACCTAGGGTTCTTTGATGTGCACCCAAATTTTTGCGCATGGGCCTTCAGCATTTTCACCTAATTCATAAAATTAGTATTACCACCAGTGGTCAGAAAAAGTTAACAGCAGGTAGTGCACTTCATTGAAGGGGCAGAGAGGAGGCTTAAGCGTAAAGCGAAGCATTTTTACGTCGTCAACATGGAGAATAGAACTGCAAAAACAGCTGAGGAGTACTTTCGTTAGCACACGCTATCGCGATACCTGTGATGTTGAATGAGTGAAGTGAGTGACGGCATTGCGGTTATGTATCAGAGCTGCGGTGGACTTGCGTCTGAAGAGGCGTAGTAGCAACACTGCGGCTCGGGCATCGGCTTGAAAATAGATGCATGTTTTCAGTGGTTTGTGTAGCTGCCATCTCCTAGCAAGGAAACACTCGACTAAGTTTCATGTCAGGTTGAAAAAGTGAGACAAGGTCCAAGAGAAGAAACCCCATTGCGGACTGCGTATTCTAGGAGGCGGTGAAAACGACTTTAAATTCAAGATAGCAAGCTTTTGGCTCAGCCCACTTGACTTCTACAGTTTTTAATAGGTTTTCCACCTTGTTGGAAAAACATTATTTGGAAAGTATTGTAACTCTACACATCATCGCGTAAACACATTTTTAAATTGGCATACTATTTTTCCAAGCATAGGTTTCCGACAAAATGTCCTGCGAGAATGCCCTTGAGCCAAAACATTTTATATTTATACTGCATAAAGTCCAGCGCACTTGTGAGGTCATACACTGTTTACGAAAACCATCAAACTATACTCATCACGAGAGCGTATGCTAAAATCACCGTCTGCGCCGCCATTTTGTTGTGAGCCATCTGCGCTTGAAAGCATTGCTTTTGTGGAATTTATCAGGGGTATGAAAACACCAGGTAGCTCGCCCTTTAGGGGCGAGCTACCTGGTGTGCTCATTTTCCTTACGAATTCTACAAGAGCAATTCTTTCGAGCATTGCCTAAAGGAAACAACTGACTGTGCTGCTAATAATGCCTGTATCAAGCTATCATTGAATGCCTATTGCAAAATGAGTTGTTACATGCCCAAAACGCCACAATTGTTCGTCCTACTACTTTTGCTAATGAGCGTACTCAATGCATGGCTAAAATAAGACGAATAAGTACATTTGCCCATCTATCTCGCTTCTAGCTACAGACACAACTGCAAAAGCAATGTGTGCAGTAAGTGCGCTTTCGGGTTTTCGTGCTGCATACCTCTTCTCTTTTTTGCGGCATTGTTGGGTGAATAGGCCGATGCGAATGGTGTCACAGCACTGTAAAACATTAAATAAGTAAAGAAAAGCCCACTTGTACGAACGTCCGCTGCAGCTACCATCCACTGTTTACAAATTTCACTTTACATGACACGTCTGGGTCGTAGTAATCTAAGCTTTCGCGTACGTTACATGGAATTATCAAAATACTTATTCTGAAAAAGGAAAGCGAAACCAGCGTAAAACACACAAAAAACGTTATCATGGCCAGAAGGCGCACTTCTTAGACGGGTCCATGCGAGAGCCTGGTGCACATTCGAAAGCATCTGAGAATTCGGCCATGTTCATTATTGGCACAATGCAGCGGGAGGGGTCTGGGGTGTACTTTTCGTTAACCACATACCGGCTCACGCACACCTTGATGCAATAGCCAATAAAGAAGAGATGCTCGGCAGTAAGGTTGATGCCCGGAAGCGTCACATCCCATTGAACAAGCGGTAAGGAAGTGAAGGCCGCGTAAGAAACTGCGGTGCCAACAAAATCGGCCAAGTTCTCCGAGTCGATGATGTCGTTGAGCACAGCGTGACGGGCTCTCGTCGCCAACTGCAAAAGTTTCATGAAAACACTATGAGCCAGATGCTTATCTACATATGCAGCTATTCAGCACATAGCATGGGTGCTCATATTCAAGAATATTTTACGAAAACAAATTTACAAAAAAAACCTTTTGAGCTTTTGCAGATGCATTCAATTTGATTGACAAAAGTAAACAACACTTGACAGAGAGTAGTTGTAAAAAATTTCATACTGGCGCAGTTTAAAAATAACTATGGTGGTAAGATTCTTAAATGCATGCGGTTACAATTGCATGCGAACTGCCAGTCGCACTGTTTGACATTAAATTGTCTACTTGCAGTGATGCTATGGGAACCCAAAAATACTCACTCGTACCTTACGTTATGTTAGCCGTTGTAGTATGAGTCGAGTTCTCCACCTTAAAACTATCCCGCTTCGCCATTTCGGGATTCCGTTTATTTGCATCGTGTACTTCGTTTGCACGGGTGCTGTTAACTACAGCTACTTGCTATATGTCTTCAGAGAAACAAGCTCACCTGCAGAAACTATCAAAGAACAAGCGCTCCCCGTTTCGCCTTCATAAAACATAAACTTCGACTGCAAAAATCCAGAGTTCCTTTCTACAATTACGAATGAGATGCTCGCACAAAAATTAGAGAAACTTTCAAAGAGAGGTACGCCCCCCAGTCCCCCTTGAAAGGGCCATTCAAAGCTGTTGGAAGCATTCATGCAATGACCTCTCCGTCACAGGTATCACTTCACAAATCCACTACCCGATGTTACAATCTGTCAAATACGAGGGGAGTTATACAGGTCTGTCGCATGCTCGAAGACCTTCTCCCCTTCGCTAGACCTAGTGAGTGCACCGAAAGCTACACTGGTGTCAATGGAGGGGGTGCGGGTGTAAAGAAACACTTGTTTCTTCAAATGATTGCGTGGCCACCGCCAAATTGCGTGACGCTCGCTACTCCGTAGTACAATGTAACAGTTGACTACGTACCAAAATGTAATCAAGGTACCATCAGAAGAAACCATGAACAGCTCCCATCTAGCACATCATTCTCACTTTCGGAACCAGGAATCTCCCCAGCTCGCTAGACGCAGGATACCTGAAGATCAATGTCAGACCATACATACCGAACCTGAGGCGCTGATTTGAGTGCCAAAGGTTCAATCATGCATCACAGTCATTGCAAAGGTAAAGCCACATGTGCCAAGTGCAGTGCGAGTGACCACGCGGCTGAGTACTGTAAAGCATCCCCATGTGGTGTCAACCTGTGGAGTAAGAAGAACGAGGTGATTGCGCTCACCATAAAGGAGAAAATTCCAAGTTTCGAAGCGAGGAAGAGCCTTGGAATCTTACCTCGGAGAAGCTTTGCCAGCGTGGTGTGCAGCAGAGGTTAGCGCAACGACAGCCTCAGGAGCCTACAGGTTCTACGATCAGTGGTCCTGTAGTACCTCCACCTGCCCCCTAGGTGGTAGCGGCGACTGCTGCTTCATCACCATCAAGCCAAGCGGGCCTGTAGACCCCATCTGTTCAGGGACCACGACTCAATCGAACACCAAGGCTTAAGAGAAGCGCCTCAGTGCCTAGCTCTCGATCATCCTCCGCCTTCGACTAAGGCTATGAAGGTCGATCGAAATACCATGGCGACGCGAAAAGAGCAGCGCTCGCTGGAGCACGCTAAAACACGGAAAAATCCTCCTGAACGAAAAAAAATGGACGTGTAACCTGAGTGGTTACCAGCTCTCGCTAACGATATGCATCTGTCCCCGAACACACACATGTCACCATCATTTTTTTACAATCACTTACCTAAACGAACCTCTTTTTTATATCACCATGGCTTTATTAATTATACAGTGGAGTTGTAGAGGCCTGATTCACAATTTATATGATGTCAAAGACATTATGAATACGTTCTGGCCTGTTGCTTTCTGTCTCTAGGAAACTAATCTAGGTCCAAAAAACACAGACTTTCTGAGAGGGTTAAACATTTTTCGAAAGGATTGTGAACATGCCAACAGACTGTCGGGAGGAGACGCCATCGTTGTAAAGGCGTCATTTACACTCGAGACATCGCATTAGACACCTCTCTTGTGGCAGTTGCAGTTAGTTTCATAGCGCACAAAATCATCTCCATCTGCTATGTTTACGTTGCCGCTCATTAGCATGTAACTTGAGGTCTTAATGACACAACTCGCAAAACCATTTGTTTTAGCAGGTAATTTTAACGCCCATGATTCGCTATGGGACAGTGACAAAAAAGACCGAAGAGTACAAATAATTCAGGTTTTTAGTTTGTCGAACAACATCTGTTTTTTTTTTTGAACTCTGGTGCACCAAACTACTTTTCATCAGGCCCATGCAAGTTCAGCTGCCTCAATTTAGCGTTTTGCTCGCCATCCGTTTTTAATGATGTTAAGTGGAAAGTGCTGGAAGCTTCGTAGGGCAGGAATCATTTACCCGCAATCATCAAAGTATACCACCCACATTACCGACGATTACCTCGAAACCACGCCACTGGCTAATTCATCTTGCGGACTGACCCCTGTTCCGGGAGAATGCGAAACTAGAACACATCCTGTCGCAGAAAACGAGCATCGATGAAGTAAACGACAAAATCACTGAGTTCATAATAGCAGACGCAGTAAAAACAATACCGCAATCGTCAAATCATGTTAAAAAAAATTGAAATGTGTGGTAGAGAAGTGAATGTACCGAATCAAACGAAGCTACAAAATAAAGCTTAGGGCATCCTTAAGAGTTACCTTACGTACAGCTACCTTATGAACTTTAAACAGGCTAAAGCCAAAGCTCGGTATAAACGGAAGCAAGCAGAAAAATAACCTTTGCAGGACTTCATATCAGCTATTAATAGCGCAGTCGCATCCAAAAGATTGTGGGAGTAGCTGAACAAGTTCACTCGCTACTACACATCCTACACTATACTCATTTTTACAAGCTCACACGTACAGATAATAACACAAGAACAAGCGAATGTACTAGGGGAACACTTTTTCAACATTTCCAGCTCAGCTAACTATTCTGATACAGTCCTAAAACACAGAAAGCCTGCAGAAAAGCAGAAACTGCCTCTTACAGGTGCATCGCACGAAGCCTCTAATAACCCTTTTACATTACAGTAACTAAACATCGTGCTAGCCATTGGTAAAAGCATGGCAGTGGGTCCTGATCGCCGCCACTATTCTATGCTAGCACACTCTCCGAAGCCTCCAAGAAAGTTATACTTACAATATTCAACATGTTATGGCAATTCGATACAATGCCAAAACAGTGGAAAATACTACAGTACTTTCATTTCTGAAAGTGGTTAAGACCTCAACCTCTGCGAGCAGCTACGGACAAATCGCTCTCACCAGTTGTCTAGCAAAACCGTAAGAAAACATTATGAACAGCAGGCTGTCTTTCATCCTTCGATCGAGAGACTTGGTAGATAATTATCAATGCGGATATAAGAAAAGCTGTTCAACCACTGACCACCTCGTTCGACTGGAGCATGAAATACGAGAAGCATTTTGATACAAGCAGTACTGTTTCACTGTTTTCTTCGACTTAGAGAAGGCGTATGACACCACGTGAAGAAACGGAATTCTGCGAGACCTCACCAATCTAGGAATTCATGGTAAAATACTAAGCTACCTATCAAACTTTATGACCGAGAGAACATTTCAGTTGCGTTTGGGCACTGTGCTTTCGCGTACATTCCTCCAGGAAAAAGGCGTACCACAGGGCTGCGTTCTCAGCACAACGTTGTTCATAGTAAAAATGATTTGGAATTATCAGGTCATACCACACAGTTATGCTCTCGCTATAGGTTGATGATCTACAGATTGCTTCCCGTGGCTCGAACTTAACAACCTGCGAGAGGCAACTCCAACTTACCATAAACAAATCAGCAAATTGGGCTGACATAAATGGTTTACGATACTCAACGCAAAAGACTGTCTCTGTCTTATTTGCAATGAAAAGAGGACTACTTCCTGACCCAGTTCTGACACTAAACAATGTAGCAGTTACTATAAAACCCGAACACAAATTTCTAAGCGTCACATTCTACAGTAAACGTAGCTTTCTGACTTATATAGTACACTAAAAATCAAGGCAACTAAAGCCCTTAATATACTAAAGATATTGTCCCGTAAGCACTAGGGTTCTGACCGACTATGCCTACTCAAGACTATCGCTCTGTTCTACGCAGTGTTTGTGACTACGGGTGTGTTGTTTACGGCTCGGCAAGAGTCTTACATCCGGCGTCTTGACCCGGTACACAATCTCGGTCTGCGTTTATCCAATGGCGCCTATAGAACTTCTCCACTTCAGAGTTTATACGTAGACTGTGATGAACCTCCACTGTACCAGCGTCCGGTACTTTTAACGCTCTCGTATGTTTTAAGAATCAGAACACTGCCTCAACATATTTGTCATGACCTCGCAACAAAACTTTATTCACACTTTTGCTACTCTAACAAGCCACATTCTAGTAAACCGCTGATTTTACGTTTTGAAGAACACTGCCGTGCATACGATATTTATAATGACGTTATAATATCGCCACAAAACCACCAAGACTGCCTCCGCGGTCTGACCTGATTCATATTTGTGATTTCTCGCTAACCCACTTAAAGAAAAACACACCCCACCAGATCACATAATTCAAGAGTTCCACATACCTCAAGATAAATACAAAGGCTATATGCAAGTTTATATGAATGGCTCAAAAGCTGAAACCCACGTGGGCGTCGATATTGTGATGGAGGAAAGCGCTGTCAGTATTAGAGTGCCTCAACTCAAATTCGTTTTCAGGGCCGAAGTTTATGCCTTATGGGAAGCAGTGTGAGAAATCATCACTGGCAAATACAAAAAAGTAGTCATATACACTGATTCATTAAGTTAACTGAAAGCGCTGTATATAAAATATGACTGTGAACCACTACTTCTAACCACTTCTTCAGTATTCTAAATATGATTGCATCAAACAGTGACAGCGTGATTGTTCGTTTCTGCTGGGTGCTAAGTGATGGAGGGATACCAGGTAGCGAGAAGGCAGACGAATGCGTCTCTCTAGCAGCGCAAAAGGTCTTTAAAGAAATCAGTATTCTCTTCAAAGACATCCATCGTATTATTTGTCTAGCGTTTTCATCGAAATGGCAAAGACTGTGGGACTCCTGCACAAACAATAATCTGCACCTGGTGAAGCCCAAAGTAGCCAAATGAAAAACGTGCCGTCATCAACAACGTTACCTTGAAGTCATTCTATGTACACTTAGAATTGGTAACACGCACTTCACACACAACGTTTTGCTTAGAAACAAAGACATGCCGCAATGTCAGACATAGTCTACAGCCATCAACAGTCATACATATTCCCATTATGTGTCTGTACATCGAAACAGAAAGAAAGAAGTACTTCAGAGCACTATATAAACATCCCAAACGTTTGCACCCGAGTCTATTTCAAGAAGATGATCCACTTGTTTCTTTGTCAAATGTTATCAATTTCTTGAAAGACAGTGGGTTTTTGCATATTATTTGGAATTGCATGCAAAGCAATGCCTATCACGAAACACCTTGTGTTTGATGCGGCTTAGATTAAGTTCCACTTGTGCCATTAAACCCAAGTTAACTAAATAACTCTAAAACTACATGACAGCCACGCCATTCTCAATACTAAATCTTGAACCAAAGATTGAACCTTCTCAGTCTCAAGTATGCACCATTAAAAAAATTGCAAAGCAATATTACTTCATTCCTTGTTCTTGAAAAGACACGCAAAAAAGTCATTATTTCCAAAAATTTAATGATTGTCTCAAAATGTGATGCTACCTATTTGCGCACTCCTGATTTTTTTGAAGTCTCTAAGATTGAGTTCAAGAAACATATCAGACCAAAACTACCTTCATTGTGATTTACAGGGCATTCACAGTTATATAGATGTACTAAGCGTTGTTGTTCATGGTACAACTACGAAAAAAAAATTGCAGATTCCACGTACAGTGGGAATCCTTGATATAGGAAGCACGAATGAGAACTGTTGATATTATTTTAAAATCAACACAACGTTACAAGATGGATGTAAATGATACCATACTTGACTTCAGTGCCATGATTATCATGTTTGGATGCGGCGTTTACCTTCGTCATCTATTCACGTCACGTGATACCAAATTTAGTATATGTGGAGCTAGCGAAACGTCCGCGAGTACTGCTATAAGCGTGGTATGTTGTCATGTTTGGACACGACACGCGTGTCAGGATTATCAAGCTTTCACTAGTCATATATTTCGTCATCATTTGACGTCACGTAACACCAAATTTGGTATATGTGTAACTAGCAAAATGGCCGCAAGCGCATTATGAAGGGCCCAAAATACTCCAATGTAGCGTTGATGCGCGCGCATGCTGAGCACAGCGACGCTACGTTAGCAAAACGCGAGCACTCTATAATCTGGCACAAGGCGCAACCAGCATCCGTCGGCGCGGCTCGACGGCAACCGGCGCAAAATGCGACATGCTGCATTTCGTGCCGTTGCGTTACCCAGACAACACTGCGTCTCCCTCTTTTCGTGACGGAGGGATGCCGGGCGTGCTAAAACGCGCATGCGTCAAAGCAACGCAGTGCGGCACGCGCCTGCGAGTATATGGCAGGACCGCTGCCTGGCGTGGCAACACCGGCGTGACGCAACGAAATGAACGCCAGCGAGCACACGCACCGCGTCACGTCGAAAAGTAATGGTGTCTTCAATGTTGCATGTAGTCATGTTCTCACATGACAAGCATTTCATGATTATCATATTTGCACCAGGCACATACCTTCGTCATTCATTGGCGTCATGTATTACCAAGTTTGGTACATGTGAAGCTAGCCAAACGGCCGTGAGCGCATCAACAGCGTAGCATGTAGTCATGTTGTTACATGACACGCATCTCATGTTTATCATGCTTGCACCAGTATCATACCTTCGTCATCCATTCACGTCCCGTAATACCAAAATTGGTATAAGTGAAGCTAGCGAAACGGCCGCCTGCGCATCATCAGCGTGGCATGTAGCCATGTTGTTACGTGACACGCATCTCATGATTATCATGTTTGCACCAGTAACATAACTTCTTCATCCTTTTACGTACTGTAATACCAAATTTGGTATATGTGGCACTAGCGAAACGGCCGCGAGCGCATCATGAGTGCGGCATGTAGTCATGTAGTTATATAACACATGTCATGATTTTCAGTTAGGGTCTGTCGCTTGTGTTCGCCATGCAATCATGCTATACCAGTTTTGCAACATGCCATGTGAACGAAACCAGCGCAAGAGCTGCTGGACCATGAAATGTAAATCATGACAGTCATGACATGTCATGATTTTCTTGTTAAAACTAGTCCAGTATGTTCTTCATACAGTTATGTTATGCCATACAAAGTGTGGTATCGATACCATTATCGAAACGGCTAGGAGAGCTTAAAATCGTAGGCAGCTAGATAGATAGATAGATAGATAGATAGAATAGATAGATAGATAGATAGATAGATAGATAGATAGATAGATAGATAGATAGATAGATAGATAGATAGATAGATAGATAGATAGATAGATAGATAGATAGATAGATAGATAGATAGATAGATAGATAGATAGATAGATAGATAGATAGATAGATAGATAGATAGATAGATAGATAGATAGATAGATAGATAGATAGATAGATAGATAGATAGATAGATAGATAGATAGATAGATAGATAGATAGACGGATGGATGGATGGATGGATGGATGGATGGATGGATGGATCGATGGACAGACGGACGGACGGACGGACGGACGGATGGATGGATGGATGGATGGTTGGATGGATACGCTCAAAGTCACCGAAGTTAACTAAGAAATGCTTTGCATTTAAAAGAGCTGTCACTTATCACGAGGACGCAGCCGAGCGTTCGTGCAGTACGGATACGAGCGCTCGTGCAGTACTCAGTCATTTTCGTTCACTCGTTTTGCGAATATGACTAAACGCACCGCACCATTTCTCAGGGCTTTCTGAAAGCAGCTCCTCATTATATCGCCAAGACAAATTTGGACACACAGATACTGAATTGTGATAATCTGCAGCCTTTAAAACAACGGTACCCAATTGGGTACCCAGGAGGCGAGAAGGTTAAAACCCACAGCAGCCAAAAAAAAGTGAGAAGACGAAATGAAAAAGTGATGTTTCTTTTATCCTTTAAATGACGTTAGCAGTAAGGAAGTGCTCAGACAGAACCAAAACTTAACTTCAATTCATCTTTAACATTCTACGGATGGGAATATGCACGCTAACGGAGGTGTTCACAGTACCGAATTTTCTGACCCCGCTGATGGCCAGGCCATCTATTCAGGCACGATTATGACAATGTAAGACAGTTCAGTGACGATCGGTGATTTGTTAGTATTGGTAGCAACGTTTTTAAAGACTCATTATCAAGAGCACCTATTTGTAGAGGCCCTGAAATCTAAACAATTTATTGTCACTTTTGTAGACCTATTTAGTTCCATCTTCAAAAAACTGTTATCTTTATTCCCGTCAAAATGTAAAGAAAGTGCGTTTGAAACAAAATTATAGAGCGAAAGAGAAGTCCATCATTTGTTACCAAAAGGCGCACTTCTCGCGTGGATTCATCGGAGATCCTGGCGCGCAGCCAAAGGCACGGGAAAACTCCGGCATGTTCATCAAAGGCACTATGCACCTCGAGCGGAGTGGCGCGTACCGTTCTTCTAACGTTGTACGCTCAGCGCACCATTTCACACAATGGTTGATGAAGAACAAGCGTTCTGTTGATATGTCGAGGTTGACTAATTTTACGTCCTTGTACTTTTGGGGCAACGACGAGTAGGCAGCATACGCAACCATGGTCCCCACAAGGTCAGCCAGATTCTCCGAGTCCACCGTGTCGTTCAAGGTTTCGTGCTGGCCGCTCAAGGACAGCTGGAAGTAAACGGTAAGCATTTAGACTACAACTCATGCTGATCAAAGTAAAATAGCAGTGTCGTTCGCTTATCTCGTCAGATATATAGAACATCACTTTTATTTCCCTTCAGTACTCTACCCTTTGTTTGACGTGGATCGTTCCACATGCGCTGTTGTACGGTCATCTGATGAACACCTCTGATAGTTGAAAGAACTTTTGATGTCCCAAGCCTCCTAACACTTACCTAAAGTGCATACTGTTTTGGTAGACAGCATGTTGTGTCGCACATTACGGGCACAAACAAAATACCATTATTATCCTTATAAGTGGAGCTGCTGGCTCTATGAAGGGGTTAAATGCGTTTCTTTGTTTTTTAGTCGAAGTCAAGAGTGACCTACAGGCTGGGGTAGGTTTTGTGCCGATATATATTTCTTCCCGCAAAAGATAAGTAACAAAAGTTAGCTTCAGATAAACAACATTCGCTGATCTCGCGTTGTTTTGAAGCGGTTTCGAAACCGACAACCAGATTTGCTCACAAAATGTGATATCATAAATGTACCTTCTACAATGAAACTACCTTGTCTGTCGACATGGTGCTTCGGTTTCCTTACTTATAAATATGCGATTTTTATAATTTAGCTGGCAAATTAGCGGATTCCAAACTTCCAGGTCGTTGTTATATTGCTAAGTGCGAAACATCAGCCGATAGGTCGTTGTTGATTTAGCATTTCGACAATTAACATCGAATATATTACTATTTATTGACAAGCACATTTGAGAGCACAAACACGTTTATTGACATATAGACATCCAGCACAACAGCCCTGAAATACAGCACGTAAGACGCTGTTGTGAATGGTCACTTTCAAGCAGGTGTGGTAATATCGCCACAAAGTTTCTAGTCAGTTTATCGTAGTTCCGAGCACGCGAATATCAAACTTTTTTAACGCACATTCAGAATATTCATTTCCTACTTTTTTACATATCTCCAGCAGGCAAAACAACGTAATAGGAGTTTGTCTTTTGAAGTAATCATGCCATGACAGCAGGCGAAATCGCTACAACGTTAACCACGTTGAACTGAAAACAGCAGACTGGAAATAGCTGCATGTACCAGATATGCAGATCTAATGCGATGTACGAGAGTGTTTATTTTACTGATTCTTATTTAACGCAGTGCAGGCGCTGTCCACCACACCAACTTAGAAAGCATTTTGACAGCTATTTAAAAGTTGTCAACGTTGTTGTGGTTCATTGGTTTTATTCTCTCTGTGACGCTGCAGTGCTACAAAATACAAGCAAATATAGCAAAATTGTAAGTGCGCCGTGAAATTTCGCAGAGATAGTTTGACCGCATGAAGCGTACCTTACTCACAACTACAAATATCGAGCATTTTGTACCCTAAAATGTTGCAGAAACATCTTCTTCAGACACAAAAATCATAAATTTTCATACCAACGTTTCATGGCCAAATAGACACATTCTAAAGAGACGTTAAAATAAATCATACTCACAACAGATTTATGCGAGTGCCTCAAGCAGAGCGCCCTTTTAGTGTACTCCTTCACGAACTCGCTCGTGAGAATTGTTTTGTTGTGTTTATTCACTTGTATTCCGTCGACGTCGAATGCGTGCATGATTTCGTGTGCTATTATCTGTGATTAGGAAAACGTAGAAGAGGAAACGAGAAAAATAATTTGTAGAATGGTGCTATTATAATCAGCGTTTGAACGGCTTTCAAATAAAGACCAGCATTGCTTCTAAAAAAAAACAGCCGTTGTTTTCCTATACTCTCCGATGCCGTGATCGTAGTCAACGCGAGAAACGCCGAACTCCTTAACGACCAATACAGGCTCGCGTTCATGCAGACCTTGCATTTTCTTCTCAAACGCTGAGAAATGACATTCAGAGATGTAGACGGAGAAACTGATGAAGACGTTCGCTCTCCACCATCTTGGAGTTTGTGGAGGGGACCGAAAAATGAACGCCTACGATTAAGCGCACTGCAACTTGCTCGACAGTATCTTCGCTATCGGCAAACGGCACCTAAAGTGTTTTTGCACAAATCTATTGCACAGTATTTGTTACACGAATTGAGGTAATGTTTGGTTGACTCATTTATTCCGCAGAAAGAACACTGAGGGGAGGCTGCAAGACCTGCTCTGTGTAAATATAAATTTAGCTGCGAAACTCGACAACACAAACTAGTGATTACGACTTCCAATCCTTTAGTTGGACATATTTTACTATGGCAATGATACACGAAGTGCTTAAATTTTGATGTGGCCGTTAGTGAAGGTGAGGTAAATTTCTGTAACAGTACTTTCTTTCTTAATGTAGTGCCTGTTAAGAATTCGGATGCCAGTTATACCTCAATAACAGGCCCTTTAAAGTTAAGTTTACCACCACATCTGGCACTTCATTCGTAAATAGGTCCTTGTGTCCTCGAATCAAGACCAATTTGATCTCTTGGAGATTCGGGGGGACTACGGTAAAAATATTACTCTGAAAGCACTCTGAGCTTTCAAGCTCTTGTTTGCAGTGAGAGAGGCACATACTGATAGCGAATATGTCAAAATTACTGCCGAACGTACTGCGGCCGTTATTTTACAGAGAGCTAGAATTTTCGCAAAAACTTGTGCTCCAAAAGTGGAACAAAATCTCAAAGGTTAAGGGAAGAAGACAAGCCTAGCATAGGAGAAAAATGACAATTCCACATTTTCCTTCGCTTTGTGACACATCTGTCGCTATGGCTGCTTGTATTGACATACGTTCCACGTAATCTCTTAATATAGCTTTTGGAAACGGAGTAGTATAAATAAATATATAGATGAAGATATCATTAATTTATATTTTAACAGCATTGTTAGTGGTAGTGATTAAAAGTAGAGAATTACTTTCAACGCCTGCTTTATCAAAAAACGCTGTTTACCCTGAATTTAAGGCTCCGAAACTCGGCCAGTAATGTTCACAAACAAGTCAGGACGGGCTACTAAAACTATTTTTAAGCGCCTTACTGATGATTCATGCAGTCTCAGAAATGACCGCGTACCTAATAAGAATAATAGGAGTCACAACGTGGATAGCTTTTATAATATTTGCAATCAACACGTGGGTTTTCTCTCGTCCTTTTTCACAGGACCCTATTCGGTGGTACATCTCCCGCACTACAATAAATAAACGCTACTACTACCTAACACTCGACTTCACCACAACTGCCACGCCAGAACTGAATTTCGCGTAATAAAATTTTGATCATCATCATCATCACGTCGCTCGCGACGGAGGGCCCATTCTTAGTGTCATTGCCAGGATGAGGTACACAGTGAAACTGAATCGAGCGGGACAGTGAAATTTTCGCTTTAAAAATTGGTACTCACCATTCCAAGCCCACCGTAATTGAGGGCGATTGGCCCGTCCAAATACAAGAATGGACTCTGCATTATGCCTGGGGATACGACAATATCGTTGTAGGGTATTATGTAGAAACCGTTGGGTGCAGCCTCGTTGTACAGCAAAGCATTTTGGTCAGTCCAAGTATAGTGAGAAGATAAAGACAGCACCTTCATCCACGTGGGGAAAAAAGGTTCCTGTGGTGCGTCTGGATAAGGCCCTGCGATAGCCGATCAACAATACGTTCTTACGATAATCTTGGTCACTCACAATGAACACACTAAGCATACAAAAACCTTTGACTGGGTTTTCATCAATGAATGTTCGCCACTCGAGACGTGACAATCTTTTAAGGGCAATTTATCAAAAATGCACTGCTATTCACCAGCTAGTTAGGGCAGCCGTCAAATTAGGCATAATTCAAGGAACCTATACTTGTTATACCCGTGCCACATGGGCAGAGAAAATGGCATTTACCTCCTAATGCCTTCAGATTGAAGGTCATTCGCGTGGTGCCACACGGATGAACGAAATGGCATTCGCCCAAAAGCCATTCGTCACCTAATGCCATCACCAGAACTCATTCAACTGAGAAATGAGTATTCTCGACGGCACAGCTGATGAAGTAATTGTATAAAACGACATTGATTCGACTGGTAGGAAACTTTTTGCGTATTTTATTTACACTAATCGCTTAAACAACTGCCTAAAAATTTCTCTTCGGCTGGTAGGCGCTGTAAAATAGATAAGCCAGGTGCCATTTTCTTTCTACTCTGCGGATCTGACTAACACGGTCGGTTGCAATGTCTTGAAACAAAGTAACGAACGAAATTGAACGGCAGCGTAATATGCTTATTTATACTTTTACTTATTATCAGATGTGTATGAAGCTTGTAAACGCTTCTTTAATTTTTTATTGCTACTCACCGGATGCTCACGAGGAAGGTGCTGCGATCGACATCATCAAGTTAAATGTCATTCGCTTTGGACGTGTAGCAGCGCTGCCGAAAAAAATGTCATTCGGGAACGGAATGCCTTCGCTACCGAATGTCATTTTCTATGACCGTGTGGCACGGTTATTACTCAGATATCATGTTAGTCTGATAGTTTCTTTTCTTTGACGCCAATTGAACTAGAGCAAAGAGATCCAGCGTGTAGTTGAAATTTTCCTACTTGAAGGTTAAAGTTTCTTTGCTTGAAAAGACAGAACGTCACATGTGGCTTTAAGATGTGGACTGGAGTTTTTAGGATAATGCACGAAATTTTACATTTTAGGCGTGGGGAACGATTGTTGCAACTGTATTTCTGGGGGGAAACAACTACAATCATCAAAACTGGAGTACTAATCAAACGTTGCCGAAGTCCTTCTCAACGATGTCTGGAGGATTAGAGCAAATATGTTTTACAATTCTTAGGCGATGAGTGTAATATAATCTTTAAAAATTACTGGAAGTTATACAGTATTAAAATATAAAAGTAATACACACAATAAAGGGATAAAGTGTGGTGTATGTGTGTAGTCGTTACTGCCAAGAAAAAGCAGCCGTGCTGTTATGCCTCACATTTGCATTCGGCAATATCACGCTCAACACACGAGGTGTGTCGTCCATATCTCAACCATCGCGTGAAAAATGTCACATCATATCAACGAAGTGACTGATGATGACTGGGGCGAAGCTCCAGAAAAATTCATCAGTAAAGCTAGATTCACACGAGCACATGGAGAAGGGATTGTTCCAGCGGACAGCGCATTACAAGACGCACACATGGTGAGAACCCCTGACCCTCACACTAAGTATATTCTAGACACTATACCCGCGCCAACCAGCCTCCTCCAATTGTGCAACTGATCTAAATGCATTAGGTATGAAAAGTGGTTTCAAAGAGAGTTTCATCTTGGGGTCATGATGGTAGATCCATCTTGGAATGCCTTCAAGAGGGCATCCCAAGATGGGTTTGTCTGTCTGTCTGTCTCTAAGAAGCTTCGTCCATAAAACCACTAACGCCATCGAGTGATAATCATTCCAAGGATGGATGGATGGATGGATGGATGTGGCTGTACCCTTTAGATCGGGCGGCGGCTAACGCCACCTAGCCGTAATATTTAGTGAACTAACCATTACATTTATCTTTTTTTCCCTTTAAATAATGAAATTGAGGATTCGTACTTCGCAGGGAAGGGTTTAATTTTCACTCGTGCCTTGACTTTAGCCACCAATCAGATAACCTCCTTCTAGTTAAGTCTACCCGCTTAAAGTCTATTTTGCCCTCGCTGTCCCTAAATCCCAGCGCTTTGAAAAACTCTGCGCCATCATCCTGAACTATAGGGTGAAGCCCTTTACAGAACATTATCAAGTGTTCGGCAGTTTCTTCTTCCTCTCCACACGCACTGCATACTGTGTCGACCCCTTCGTATTTGGCCCGATATGTCTTGGTTCGCAGTACTCCCGTCCTGGCCTCAAACAGTAGAGAACTACCCCGAGTATTATCATAGATCCTTTCCTTGGCAATTTCCTGCCTAAAGGTTTGATAGATCTCTAGTGCGGACTTCTTAATCATGCCCATTCTCCACATGTCAGTCTCCGTTTCCTTCACTTTTTTCTTAACCGATAGTTCTTTTTGGTTTGGCCACCTGCTGTTTTCTAAGTATTTACCAGTCAACTTCCTGGTTCGCTTCCTCCATTTTGTATCGACATTCTTCATGTACAAGTAGCTGAAAACCTTCCTAGCCCAACGCTCTTCCCCCATTTCTCTCAATCGCTTCTCAAATTTTATCTTGCTGCTAGCTTCCCTGCCCTCAAATGATGTCCATCCCATATCACCTTGTACACCCTGATTTGGTGTATTCCCGTGAGCTCCTAAAGCAAGCCTACCTATTCCACGTTGCTTAATTTCTAATCTTGCTTGAACTTCTGATCTCATGCACAAGACCGCATTGCTGAACGTCAGCCCAGGAACCATGACCCCTTTCCATATTCCTCTCACAACATCATACCTATTGTAATTCCACAGTGCCCTATTTTTCATGACTGCTGCATTCCTGTTACCTTTTGTCGTCACGTATATTTCGTGTTCCCTCAGATACTCGGCCCCATTGCTTATCCATACGCCCAGATATTTGTATCTATCTGTTATCTCTAGCGTGACCTCCTGTATTCTAAGCTCACTACCTTCGTTGTCATAGAAAATCATGACTGCTGATTTTTCCCTACTGAATCTAAAATCTAACCTATCTCCCTTATTACCGCAGATGTCCATCAATATCTGCAAATCTTCCTTGTTGTTGGCCATTAGCACTATATCATCTGCGTACATTAATGCTGGTAGTGCCTGATCAATAAGTTTTCCTTGTTTGACTAAAGAGAGGTTGAAGCCCAGTCCACTTCCCTCTAATTTTGCCTCTAATCCTTGTAGGTACATCATGAATAATAAGGGTGACAGGGAGCACCCCTGCCTAAGCCCCCGTTTTACCTCTGCAGGCTTGGATACCTGTTTTTCCCACTTTATAACTACCTTGTTACCTTTATATACACCCTTTAAAAGATTAGTGACTACATGTTCCACGCCTAGTGTGTCCAGTATTCCCCACAATTCCTCTTGAACCACGCTATCGTACGCTCCCTTGATATCCAAAAATGCTAGCCACAGGGGCCTGTGTTCTTTTTCTGCTATTTCGATGCACTGCGTCAGTGAGAACAGATTGTCTTCCAACCTCCTGTGTTTCCGAAACCCATTCTGCAGTTCCCCCAGCACCCCCTCATCCTCTATCCACGCCTGCAGTCTTTCCTTTATAATCTGCATCGCCAGCCTGTAGACCACTGATGTCACTGTTATAGGACGGTAGTTGTTTATGTCAGCTTTGTCCCCCTTTCCTTTATAGATCATGCTCATCCTGCTAAGTTTCCATCCATCGGGAACTTCACCATCGATTATTATTGTACTCACTGCCTCTCTCAAAGCCTGCTTAGACTTCGAACCTAATGTTTTAAGGACATATACATAGAACGCCATCTGCTGAAGAATTCATGAACTAGAGGTCGCTACATAAATACTACATATAACATGCCACATAAAAACGGAGGTAGGAGCGACCTACAGCCTAAAAAAATTTCCCCGCAAAAAAAATGTGACGCTGGCTTTTGAACGCGCCAAATTAGTTCTCTCTGGTGGAACCACGTGTCAAGACGTTTGGTTCATTCATTGAAAAAAAAAACTATCTTGTTGAACTGATTGCTTTGCCTTTCATTATATTGATGAAAACTCACGGTAAATCTCTTCGACGAATGCTGGATCTGATCGCTGTCCTTGACTTCCCACGTAGAAGGTCATGTCGATCAACTTGTTGATAAGTTCATCACGAATATCGCGGCCAATCCAGTTTGAGGAATTCAGGGATTTCTCGAAGGCGCTGCGGATTCGATACGCCATGCGTTTTGTCTGGTATATCATGCGTGGTGGAACCACTGTTCGATAAATAGGTATACCAAAGGAACAACTTGCTGCAATCGTATTGTCATGTACACAAAGCAAGACACATTCAATACTAGTAAGACGTTGACCTATGCAGATGATAAGAATATGCAGTGTATAATCTGGCAGAAGCGAGCACAGGACCGAGTTGGGTGCCGAAACATGGGAAAGGCTTTGGTGATTATGCGATGTTGATTATGACCTTTTGGGCGAGTCGGTACATACTCGGAGAAATGCAGCTTACAAGTGTGAGCACTCGCTTGCGTTTTGTGTCTCCTCTCTTCGTCGAACTTGCGCTGTATTTATCTGAGACAGTTAGAACGTATACTATACATAATTTAAAAAGATGGTGTTTCACGGCATACCATAATAATGATCTAGAAAATTTTCAGTACTGATGCGGCTGCGTTCACCAAAATCTTTATACACATCTATGCTTTGTATATTGTATTGATTTGATGCTGTAGGAATGCGAAAATCCTTGCCAATTTATGGCCGACAATACAATAGTCTTAAGATAGTCAGCAATTACGTTAGCTTAGCCTTACAATAAACGAATTTTACAAAGATAATCATTCTTAGATATGACTGTATCACTAAAAAAGAGGTCACAAACGAAAATACAGGGTGTTATTTATTAGACCATTTCGTGCTTCCTTGACCGGCCACACACCTCGCCTTTCCGCATCACAAGGGCCTTGCGAACCGTCTGCTCCGTTTGTGTCAATAAAGCTTCTTGCCGATATAGGCGACACTGATGACCCTAATATGAGATACGCTAGGCTTTCGAAAAGATCTAAAAAAACCTATATTTACCTAGGAAAAATCGAAAGCTGTAAATATGGAAACTTTTAGTTGTTACTGGTTTGTAAACCAGCTAGCAAATATTTTCAGAAATGTCAATTTCGCAAATTTTTGTTTTCAGAGCGTTATCTTAAGACAATCTTACAATAAAAAAAGTTGACTTACCGGACGTGAAGTAGGAGCTCATGACCGCCAGGTTCATAAATTCCTTTATTTCAGCGTAGCAAGCCGTGTTGGCCGAAACGTAATTGCGAAGCAATCGTGGCACTGTGTACTTGATCAGCTTTCTGTAGAAGCTCCAAGCGACTAGGTATCGCAACCCATCTTTGCCGACAGATTCGCTCTTGAATAGATTTAACAAGATAGTAGTACTTTGCGGTATATGCGAAATTATGTCCGTACTTTTATATATACCATTAGTATATCTGGTGATAAAAGTCCCCCACTCAGCTGCAAACACAGAACAAGCATTACAGTACCATTACAATCACACAATATTAATTTGTTTCATGTTATCTTCATCTAATTATTTACTCTTTGGCTTCTATGGCTGCTATCACATGCCTCCAAATTAATTTCCGTTCATACCTCTATAGGCCAGAGCCTAACTATCTATAGCCCTCTGGCGCCTATGCTGCCAAAGGCGTAGTCTCGAAACAAGACTTCATTTGCCCTGAACTGCCGAAACCTCTATCTCTTGTGCCAAATTTGCATTGCAAGTGGAATCTCTGGGACACGAAAACACGAGAAAGTGCCTGTTCACGCCATTTCAGCACACAAGGAGTCGTCTGCGCACCACTACGTTGTCCAGGAACGCGAAAAGAATCATCGCAAGAGGAATACATTACTCAGCACTGTCTGCAAAGATTACAACACGACGCGAGAATCGTGCCGCTGCGGTGTTTCAGATTGCACAGATTTGCACCGGCATAGAAAGAGGACAACTTCTTCCGCCAGTTATAACTGCAATCAACATGAAAAGTTATGAACCTAGTAAAATGCATGACTGAGTTCATTTACAGCGTGTATTGAGGCAGTGACGAAAGCTATTTCACTTTACAGCAGCAATTTCCGCGCAGTATACCTATTGTATGCAGTGCCAAATCCTTGCCGTACTGTTTCATAGGTAGCATGGCAATATAGAAGATATTGAGGCCCACACGTGCAAGCATGATGCGCACTCTAAGTAGATGTGTAAAAGCGTTATGTCATCAAGCCAAGAAATGTAAACAGCAGGAAGTGTGGCTTTCGACCTATTCGGACTGCAACATATCTTCACTGTCGCTATAGGCAAATATGTGCCGACGTCGCTGAATCCCCATAAAATTTTTTCTCTGACTGGCACTTTCGCACCGCGTATGCGTTGCGAGTGCCAGCCATGACTGAGAATATAGTGAGTTTCAGAATACCGTTTCCAAGAGCTGCGGGCGTTGCTTTAGGATAGCGTTTGCCCTGCTGCGAACCGCAACGAACGATCGCAGCGACACCGTAGCCTCGAAACCAGTGTTGCTGGCCACATGCGGGCAGCCATCACCGCCCGTAGCCTAGAAACCAGCGCTTCCGGGCCACATGCGGGCTGCCATCACCGCACGCAATTTTGGATTTTCTGCGCGCGTTCCGTTAACGCAAACGCCGACTCGCGTTACGGCGCATGCGCAGTGGCAGCAACCGCGCCGCAAGGGCTCGCGGTGCGCTATTCTGAAACTCCATTTTAGAGACACGTGTGGTGCGCGAGCGCATGCCTGAGCGGGATCCATCGCTACGGTGACGCCGGCGCTGAAGTACCAGTTCGGTCTAGCGGCAATCAAGGCGTGTCGCAGCTCGGCTGAGTCGAAAAACGTGCTGTCAACTGTTGAAGTTGCTTCCTTAGTCAGCAAAACTACTTTCGCGCTCCTGCAAAAAAGTACGGCAATGGCGAAAGCAATAAAATATGGTGGCCTGCACGAAGAATATCAGAACTTATCTCCTGTATACCGACTATACTCGGCTCTATTTATTTTAGGTGCCAAAAAGAAAAAAAAACGCCCCATAGATTTACGTAAAGCCAAGAAAATTCTGAGGGTCTCTGACAGGTGCGATGAAGAACAGGAACGACTGCATCAATTTGCGATAGTGCCTGAGACTGGTGGAGGCTCTGATATTTTCAAATGCTCTCCTATTAGCGTGGTCGCTATGTTCGTTTTTTTTTTCAAACAGCTAGTAGGGAATAACCAATGAAATTGGGCGACAGGCAGGTATTGTCTCAAATACGTAGAAAATATGAACGTTTGCTTGTTGGCATCGTAAATGCTAGTCACGCTCAGCAGTTAAGTAGAATTACATTTCTTGTAAGGTACGTGATCGTCATTTTCCTGCTATCCTAAATTTTTCTCCCGAAAGTTGGCTGGACCCTGAAAGACACACATTACAAACAATATTAGAAGTACTTGCTAACTATTGTGAAACTGTAGTAAAACTTTTCACTTACCCTCAGTAACGAATGGTTTCGTATAAAGACCAAGCTTGTGAATGGAAATGTCCGTCCCAACACTTCCTTTGCCAAGTGCGGCTATTGTGATGTCCTTCACTACAGGGAGAAGGAAGGAGTAAGTAAGGCAACTATAAAGAAGTGAAAAATTCAATACTAGTACTTTCCCACCAGAGACATACCGCAACTATACTTTTTACGAAAGTTGGGTGAGGACGCCTGTATGAAAGGGTTTAAAAAGAGCTCAAGAATACCGCACAGAGGCCACGTTGTTGTGTCAGAGGACGAGATTGCTAACGGCAGAGCTATTTAGGCTTTTGTAGTGGCCGCGTAGCGCGAACAGAAACTATCTCGGCGTGCTCTTTCTTCACCGTCTTCTTTGCTTCTAAAGCACATGTACTAATATCTCCAGCGTAGAAAAAATCCGATAAGTGAGAGAACAAATACAACTAAAAATAAACAGCAAAATAAAAATCTTCGACGAACGGAAATTTCTGGCCAGGTGGGACTCACACCGACGCACCCAAGATCTAGATGGGAGTGGTGCTACCACGCAATTTTCCAAGTATCCTATCAGAGCATAACATATCTTTGTATATCATGGTATGGCAAAGTGGTCAAAATGGGATCTGAGAGTAAACTAGACGGAGAGGAAGAAAGGTAAGAATAAGCATATAGGGAAAAAAATTGACAGAGAAATAGACAGGCAGAGATGTTGAAAGGAAAGAAAGACAGAAAGAGAGAAAATTAAAGAACACACACACCTTCAAAAAATGAAAGTGAAGCAAAGAAGTACTGGAAAAATTCAGCAGACCGAAACAAAAATCTCAGAAAAAATTAGATTGAATGCAATAGGAAACCAGTATAGGAGAGAGATAGACAGAAGGGAGAAAAAGAGAACTATAGGAGTACCGAGAGAGACAAAGAAATAGGCGTATTTGGGAGAAACAGGCGCATTTGTGTGCGTGCGTGTGTTTAATACACACGCACGCACAAAAACACGCACACGGTAAATTGGACCAGCGTGCGCTATTATCACCAAATGAGCTTGTTTTCGTCGTGAGACTTATCGAACAAAATGCGTTAAAGGGGCCCTAGAACACTTTTTTAGGTAACCATGGAATGAACTCACTGGAAGAGCTTTTTGCCTCACAACGAACGGACGCAAAGATGAAAAGAAAATCGTCCAGTGACAGTGAAGTTGCAAAGGTTTGTCGCATGATGCAATTGCATTCTCTTTTCTCTCGTCCCAACGAAAGCGCTGGAAGCTATGTAAGGAGGGGTGGCAGCGGCAAAGAAACTACGTTACCCGCGCCTCATGACCTTGAGCCCTTCTTTATTTTTTTTTTCTTCTAATGCGCGGCCTTTTCTGTGTGATCGCGTGAGCACGCGTGGACAAGTAGCGGTCTGCCGCGGCAATCTCTGCGACGAGCTTTTTCGCACACGGACGAATTTTTGCTCACAACCAACGGGGCCGACGCCAACGGTGGAATTTCTGCGAGACGAGCTTTCCAACGCTATCGCGTTAAAAGTAAGCGAACATCCAGTATTCCGGAGAAACAAATACGGCAATAGTGAGTAGCACGAGGAGGGAACGTACTGGCAAGAAGAAAGGTTCCGCGGCTTTTATAGATGTGCTGCGCGAAGTCATGTCAGTCGTGCTACTCCCGGCGTGGTATGGAAGCGTACTTCTGTACGCGTTATTTCCAACTGTTAGCCTCAAGTAATTGTAGAACACAAACACCAAAGCAGCTGCTCCATGATTACCCATTAGGCAGAATCGTAACTGGCAGAATCGTAATGCATTAGGCAAAATCGCAATGCTTATATTTCAAAGTGGATTAGGGTCTAGAAATGAACAAAAACGTTTACGTTTTTGTTCATTTCTAGACCCCAATGAACTTTGAAATATAACCATTTAAGGGTTGCGCTTGGAGAAACAACAATAAAATTGAATCCAACTCACGGTGCATGTCGTATACGCTTATCTTCAAAGCAAGCTGGTTGACAAAACGCGGCGTCACACCATAGTTGGATAAAATTGATTCGTAGTCCTGTACTCTTCGGCTCTTGGCAAACCACGTTTTTTGTTCGCTACTGTACTCAATCTGTTAAGAAAAACGCAAACGTGTACATTGGTAACTCTCCTGAATATTCGGCTTGGAGAAGCAATGCGACAACAGTATCTAACGGCGGGTAACAAGCAAACCTCAAGGAGAACATTCTTTTAGTTGAAACTTTATTGAAACGAAGATCACGGTGACTGGCCTGTGAATCGTGTGTTTCCAAACCTGGCCGACAACCACAACTGGCCGCACCAAACCAACAATAAAAAATTGGCAGTGAGAACGGCCAAAACACTCCGAGCACGCAATGATGGTGGCATGTAGTCATGTTCTTACATGACACGCATATCAAGATTTCTATATACCTTCGTCATTCATTCATGTCCCGTAATAAAAAAAAATCGGTATTTGTGAATCTAGCAAAACGATTACGAACGCACCATGAGCGTGACGTGTAGTCATGACTTACATGACATGCATGTAATGATCTCACCGTTAGAGTCTGTCATATATTTTCGCCATGCAGTCATGTCATACCATACCAGTTTTGCAATATGTCTTGTGAACAAAAACCACCGCAATATAAGTAAGGCCAATGAAGGTAAATCATGACATTCGGGACAAACATATCATTTTTTAAGGTTATGACAAGTC